ATCCTGGTATTGAAAGGCAAAACTTAGTTGAAAATATTCCGATAATTTTTCTTCTATTACGGTTTTATGAAAAATGTTGTTTTGTGAGCAACTTCTGTTGATAAATGGCAGGCGAGTTTATTAGAAAGAAAACCTGACGAATTTCCTTATGTTTCTCTTCCAAATTACGAACATCTTTTTGAATTCATGAAGAAGGTTTTTCCACCAACGATTGATAGTAGTGGTAGAGTAACGGGCTTGGAGTATAGAGACTACTTGGACAAACCCGACGATGACTCCTACTTAAAACCTAGTAGTGGAAAAAAAGGTTGAGAAAACCTTACTATTCATGGTTTTTCTGTTCCTCTTCCCAGCGATGCTTCTGAAACAAGTATAGCCGCATATGTTGTAAATAATGAAGGGAAGCCAGGCTTTGATAGTCGGTTGCAAGGTCAAATGACACCAAGCAAGATTAGTGATGATTGAGAATTTAAATCTCTTGCCGGATTATGATGGAAGGTTTTTGCTCACCACATGAATAATCCCTCTCCTTCCAGCAATGATTATAGTTGAAAAAGTAGTGATATTACAACTAATGATAAAAATCAAAGAATAGCTCTGGATCAAATCCGCTATGCTAGAACTATGAAAGCCATTTTAAAAGAATTTAGTATTGCGAGTGGTGATGAATTTGACGAATATCTATTAAAAATTGGAGATCAAGTTAATAAAAAAAAATTTATTTCACCTCGTCATGAAATTATTAAAAGATTAAAATTGGTCTATGCGAAAACAGACAAAATAAATGGCAAAGAATTAGATTTAAGGGAAGCTATCAAAGAAAGAGTGGTTTGAGGAGAGGATGATTATGAATGAGAAAATGTTGCCGACCAATTATCCTCCATAGTTGATATCTCGGAAAACGAAGTTCTGCGAGTTGAAAGTGACATTGAACAGGTTAGAAAGCAAATTAGTGGTATTTCTAGTGATAATGCTACTTTGCAGTTGGAAATCGATGCTCTTGAAGATTACATTAACTTGCTAAAAAGTATGGGGGAGGATGAAGATAAGCCTATAGATACAAACAAAAGTGATTTTGAAACCGTTTACAATGAGAAAGATAAGCAAGATGGAAAATGAACTCGAAACCAATTAAGGAGAATGAGAAGTCTTTTAGATACAATTAAGACCAAAATGAACGATGATGCGGCTTTTGATACTGAATTTAAGGATAAACAAACGGAAATTGAAGATAAGCATGCTAAAGCTGGCATACATGATAGTGCTTTAGAATTTTCATGATATACTATTAAACAAACTTCTAACTCCTGGTCATTATAAAAGTAGTGAATTTGCTTTTTGGATTGAACTCGATAAAAAGGTGGCACTGCG